ATAAACAGTGATCTTTTTCTCTTTTTTTCTAAATCAACAATAAACGTAATAATAGATTCAAATAAACAATTAGTTAACGTTAATCAATCAACATTTCCATCCTTATGACTGTATGATATCATTACAAATACAGTAGTTGGTCACGTTTACGTATCGATGCATCATGCAAAATAATAAGGTAACAATGATGTACAAAAAATTTATATATTAGACCACGAAAATCATTCGCGTTTGTCTTTTTTTTTTTTTAAAAAAAAAAAATCCAAATAAATAAAAAAGTTAAAAAAAAATACTCGAGTAAAATGTCTGCAAGCAGTTCAAAGTTAACGCGTACTTCAAAGAAAAGTGCAGTTTGGTCGTATTACGATACTGAAACCACTAATTATCCAGGCTTGCCAGTATGTCGTCAATGTAACCGTGTTTTTGCAAGTGGAACCGATGTTTCATCTTTGCAAAATCACCTTTCTACTCATCAAACTACAATATCTGCAAGAGGTCGTCAAACTACTCGTCGAACTGCTGCTTCTAATAATGGTGAAAAAGAAAAACGTGATGAAAAGTTAATCACTTGGATCGTGATGGATTTACAACCTTTTACAGTGGTTGAGGAGGAGAGTTTTAAAATGCTTATTCGCTGTCTTAATTCTAGTTATACTATGCCTACAGGCCAAGCAATAAAAGATTGGATTTTCAATGAATTTAAAAATCGTCGCGCTAAAATTATTACTGAAATCGCCCAAATTCCTGGAAAATTTTCTCTTAGCGCTGAAACTTGGTCATCTTCTGATTGTGAAGATTATATGGGTATTATGATTCATTATGTAGACTCCAATTGGAAACTTCATCATTACCTATTAGACGTAATTCCATTTACAACTGAATTAACTTATATTATTCCAAACATCTTAACTGAGCTTAAAATAAACAAACAACCTCTCGCTCTTACTACCGATGATGAATCAGAAACTATCAGTAATAGATATTTCGAAGAATATCAAAAACAACTTAAAAAGACGGGTTTTCCTCATTACAAATGTGCTGCTCGTGTACTTAATGTTGCTGCTAAACGTGTTTTAGATGTTGTTGATGCTTCTGTTGAAAAAGCGCGCTTGTTGATGACTAAACTGGCTTTTAGTGATGAAAAATTACAAAATGAATTACGTATATTATGTGAAAGAAAAGGTGTTCCGTATGTGGAGCCAGAGATAGATATAATAAATAAATGGAAAAGTACCTATTATATGCTATCCAATTTACAGAAAATGGATTCAGCAATTATTTTACTTGCCGATAATCATCATTCAATTAAAGAGAGATATTTGGATACTGCTGATCAAGAAAAATTGCGAGTAAGAAAAAGATATATTAAGAAAAAGATATATTAATATTATTATCCTACATAGGATTAAGAAATTAACTAAACAATTATTATAAAGGAAATTCTTACCATCTTGGCTCCAGTCGAAACTGCCACCAAGATCCTTTCTGAAACTTCTTATCCAGGACATGGTGACATACGTTTCATATTTTCAGGCCTTCAAAAATTTCTTGCTAATTACATTGGACAAAATGATTCCACTCAAAGCCTTGCTGCTTCTTTGATTTATCAAAAAATCGAAGAATATTGGTCAACTATGGATACCTCTTCTATGATTTCCGCGGTCCTTGATCCTCGTGCTAAACTTTGGGCATTTGATCATCCTGAAAGAGCCGAAAGTGCTCGTGATGCTGTGCAAGGGATTTTAGACCAATATATTAATCCACAAACTTTTGTCAACAGTGATGAAAATGAGATTCAAGCCATACGTCAATATTTTTTAAATCTATGTAATCCACAATTAGCAACTACCTCTAAAGAAATGGCTATTAAAGAATTGGATTCTTATCTCGGAATGAAACTTTCTGATCAAAATATTAATCCGTCAACTTGGTGGCAAACCTATCAAACCGAGTTCCCAGTTCTTTCCAGGATAGCACGTGATTATCTCACTATTCAAGCATCTAGTATCGCTTGTGGGTATGCATTTTCGGCGGATGAGGTTGATTTATTAATATCACGTAGTCTCCTCCCTTCAGAAGTAGTAAGAGAGCATTTATGTGTTAGAAGTTGGATTGCTGACGAAAGAGGGGATAAAGAATGAATTTATAAAGAGATAGTATGGTAATCTGTGTATCAGCTATGTGAATTAGCTTCCCATGAAAATACAATATTATTTTGCAATCTAACATTAGTATAGTATTATATCAAATTAATCTTTCTATATGTTATTTAGAAAAGAATGTAATTGCCTTGCTGTGAATTTCGCTTTTCAATTATTAAATATTTTAATTATGGTTGCATATGAGTGCTGCAGAGCAAAAACCTGTAACTGATCATAGTAAATCATTATGTTCAGTTACAGGTTTTCGCTCTGCAACACGCATATATGAAACTGGTTTTGAATCTAATAACCTTTTTTTTTAATGTTGACAATGTGTTATCCATACGAAATCAATAAAAGCAGAATAAACCTTTCTTCGAATATTTTAGTAGCGTAGTTCCTTCGACGTAGTAAACTCGTTTATACTGGATCATTTTGATTATTTACAATTTATTATGAATACTGTCACTAGAAAACCTGTAAATATAAATTTGAATATTCATCTCATATTCACTGTAGCGGGCTTAAATTAAGGAAATTGCAAAAATTATTGTTCTAATCGTCGCGACATTTTAAACGCACTAGAACACTGATAATTACATAGTATTACAATCTTTCAGAAGTTTGATATAGTATAATTGAAATTTGGACTTTCAGGTTTTCCTTTGGTATCATTCATAAGGGAAGGTCGGGTATTATGGCACGGGGTATTGTGGCGCACTTGCATTTTTTATTATACCTTGCGATCCACTGAACAATTTTAGTACGTACCATTCGATTCACGATATAAAAATTAATCAATTCTGATTAAGACTTGAGGAAAAGTTAGAGATTATGTGTAGTTATTACGCTATTTTTTTCTTTCTCCTATTTGGGCAATTTCGGGAGGAGAGATCAGCAAAGTAAAATGTAAAAAACGGTTATCTACATATATTAATATTGTATTGTAACGTAGTTTGAATATGTATCACCCCAATCAAAAAAACGTAACAGTTTTCAGATATTTTAAATATCAAGTTTTTTAAAAATTTATAGTTTTTTTTTTTTTTGCTTGTCGATAGATATTAGTTTATTTCAATAAATTTTAGGAATATATTTTCCTGAGAACTTTTACTATTAGCATTGGTGCGATCATAAAATTGCAATGATAATACATAGAAACTCTTCGAATTCATGATTTAGTTTTATCGTGTACGGAAAATATTTACTAATGAGATTATTAAACATTAGCTTAATTACTTAATCGATGTTTTAAATCACAAAAACGTAGTCTCAATGGCATGTTTATGAAGTATTATTGAGTAATCGTATAGCCTTTTTTCTAAACTCTTTAATTACATTATGTGTGGAATGCTTTCAAATTAACGCTTTTATTTATTGGAGCTTAATATGATAACCTTAGCTTTAATGTGTGCCTTTATTCAATGATCCATGCTATTTACAAGATTTGACATGTCACTTTTGAGATATTTTGCCATTTATCTCTAAGAGCATGCCAAACTTGTAGACAGAGGTCTTCTATTATGTATACGTTGATCAAGAACATCTCAATAGGACTACAATCAATGCTTTTTTTTTGCGCCATTCCAAACAATACCAGTTTGTTGTGTAGTACGGTGCGGTTTGCATTATCTTCTTTCAATATAAAGCATATTATAAGTTGTTTGAGCTTCTTGATCGCGCAAACTGTAAAAATGATTTGCGAGAATTAGTTTTATCGATAATTATCAATGAACCAATCTCAAACCACCCATTACCCTGCATTTTTGAATGTAAATAAGGTATATTTTTCTGCAGGTTGGCGCCAAACACGCCTACGTCCATCAACATGAAACAAGTTAAATTTAGAATTTTTTTTTGAAATTGGATTATCATTATTAGTATCTTCCAATTATATTTCTCTTCGACGATAGTGGTTTTGATACCATCTTTAGTCCCAATTATGCAAATAATGTCGAATAGTACTTTTAGATATTTGAGTTCCATAACTCTGATTAAATTCTCGAATTATGGCTCGCATAGATGCATATCTATTTTTGTTTTAACTAATCATTCTAAAGCTCGATATTACGATCAATTACAATAGGAAAACGTCTTAAACATTTATTTAGGGATTGCAGAACCCGTTTCTTTCCAATATTAATAGTGTTTGATATAGTTTGATAAGGTATTTTGAATATCATTCTTTTTCATATTGGTTACGCTCAAAGTTTGAACTTTTGCGTTTTTCATGCCAAGAAAACAATGATAATTTTACATATTCATCAAATTTTATAATATTTTATTACTTTATTAAACAGTTAAACTATTGCCAAGTATAACGTGTTTAATTACAAAGAAATGAATTTCGTCGTTAAATTAGGATAAAAACTGTTTGTATTTACTTTTATTTAATCACAATAAAATGTGTTAAAGATTTACAAACTCCATAATCACCAAATCATTGCCGCTTCCTGGATTTGATAAATATACAAATAAATAATTTTAGTAAGCTTCAAAACCTATCTTGTTTTTTTTATTAAATATGTTAAATACAGCAGTAATACAGCGATAGTGTATTAATCCTTTAAATTAAGTATAAGGCATATAAATCAAATATATATATATATTTATACATTCAAAAATGATTAGTTTGCTGAATCACATAAATTGGAAAATATGCCAAAAAATTATATATACCGTATATTATTTTGTCATTAAATAAATTAAGTCACAATTTAAGAAGTCTTTAAAAAAATAATTTATTTGCTATCATAAAAATTACCAGGACTTTTGGTAGGGCACTGTATTCTTATCAGAATCTACCAATTCCTTTCTGTAAGCAAATATGTACAAAAAAAATTTGTTATTTACTATAAATTAATCAACGATTGTTTTTTTTTTTAAAAAGGAAAATCACATTACCGAAGCAAGAACTCCCATCAAACTTTTTGAAACAAACCCAACAAAAGTATCAACTTCTCCGACAACTCGTCCAAAAGTTGCAATATCTTGTAATCTTCGATCTAAAAATTGAAATGTACCTCTATAATCTGGAGATGTGTCTTGAGTCATGTATAATTCTAATTTCAATTTAATATAAATATAAAATTAATTAGAAATAAATGAATTTTATAAATGATCTAAACAATTCTCACCCGTAGAAGAATATATTACTGCAAGACTTCCTCTTTTAGTGTACCAATTCATCTAATTGTAATAAATAATTTAATAATATGCATATATACATGATATTTAAAACATTACGGGCTGTCCATTTATAGGGCGAATAGATTAATTTTTTATCAGAACTTATAGCATATAGTAGTTTTAAGTACACTGGCTACCTATGTTCATTAATTGTCGATTAACAATATAAATGCGCATACCGTATGGTCTTGAAATATCTCCAAGAGCGTTATTTTGAGATGCACAATTTAAAGAAAGCTAAGAATTAATTTAATCTAAGGTTTTTAAAAAATAAAAAATTGCTGTTCGACTTTGGGTAAATTAATTCTTGGCTTTCTTTAAATTTTGTGTCTCGAAATAACGCACCCGCTCCTGACCTTTATTTAGAAATGATACGGTAAATGTTGAGCAATTTTGACGTTAATTGTAGTGGATACTTATAATTGGTAATTAAAAATACCCACGATACGGGTTACTTGATAGCAAAAAATTGCACTATCAAATATTGTATTGCACTTAAAATAAAGGATATACTTAATTATAAAAATTTTGATGGAGGTGTGCCCGTAATTATAGTTAACGTCAAAATTAATTTACAATGCAATTGAACAATTTTAACGTCAACTATACCCGTAATATTTTTGATACCCGTGTACATTATAAAATTACTAACATCTGCGCTTTTATCACCAGCCAAATACCACATGTCATCCACTAACTTTGCAAGATGCTCAATTGAAGTTTGAACATTATTAGGTTGTGCCATTATTGCAAGCGCCTAAATTAAAATTTTAATTTAAAGGTTTAATACTTGAACATAACTATTTAAAAAGTTTGTAATCTATTTTACCTCTGACCATTTTTTTGCATATGGTTTAGTATAATTGAGCCGAGTTATACATGCTAATCGAATCTTCTGATGAACTTTTAATCTTTATACAAATTTCATAAAATTTTCATTACCGTGTCATAATATTAACATTCAATATATAATGAAAGAAAACACATATAGATATAGTAACAAACCCATCCATTTTATCAATCAACTCATCAACCATCTTCTTACGACTATCTTCCAAAAACCAGTCAATTAATTCAATTCCACCTCTGGGAAATAATCCATGTGAAACGGAAGGATATCCAAATGAATTTGCTCCGTGTGATAAAGATTCGATTGTCCATCCATATTTTGGAACGAATGTAAGTGATGCACGGAGAATCTCTGAAGTATAGTCGTTAGGTGAAGCCTTTCCTGTATAGTGACGAAAGGCGAAACCTGAAGGCTGTAAAAGGCAAAAGGCAAAACTCTGACGAAACCTCAAATCTCTCCGATGACAAACGAAACTTAAATTTGGAAATAAAGAAGGGCGAGACCTGGCGAAACCTTCATGAACATGAAACCCGACGAGATTAAAAAGATCAAAACGAAAACCTATGCAAGCCATTCCATAATATCAAAACAAATTCTTACCTTTCATAGATTTTTTATTATTTATTTTTATAGTTTTATCACTTTTTTAATATTATTATCACTTTAGACGCTTGATTGTCTCGAAAGTCTAATAATTTTCCAAGACACAAAATCCAATTTTACATTCAAGATTGCGAACAATGCATTTATTACCTTTAGATCGACCAATCAGGATACAGGATCTAGTGTAACGTAAAATCATGAAAGAATGTTGGAGGCCTTTTACCCTGCTGGCATTCGTTTTTAAAAAGATTTTTGGAAAGCGAAAATGTATCGTATTGGCGATGTTGCTAATTTTCAAATTTTAAATCATTTTTTTTATTGTATTTTACTGTATGTAATTTTTTTAATTTACGCTAGTGTATAAAACAGTTATAATTTGTAAATTTACTAGATTAGTGTTGATAACAGTTTGAGTTCAATCATTATTCTTTTAATTTAGAATCTAACACTCGAAGGTCACACTAACAATTCTTCCCGTCATCTAATAAGTAAAATTTATACAAGTCTAATAAGTCTAATTCTAAAATCTATCTCTTTGTTAGTAATCTAGAGCTCTAATCTAAGACCCTGATTACTCGGACGGACCAAATCTTTCCGTGCCTCGATCACAGCCTTCCACTATTAGGACTTAAATAGTTTTAGTGTAATATTTGCTATTAGTTATACGTAGTGTGTGACCCTTGTCCCGATTCGTTTTGTCTCAATACCATTTTTCATTGCTACAATGTGACTGAACAATCTAGCTCAAACGATTTATCAATATTACCAAATACCAAGATAAATGCAATGCATCATCTTCAGATATGAAAGCCAATAACAATATACCAACGATATATTAACTAAAAAATCTTTTCTAATACAAATCTTTTGGATTCAACCAAGTATATCAGTTATATCTCAATCCAATCCAATTCATGAGTGTACCTATCTTTGTAATAAAGCATTGGTGTAATGACCTGATTTATATCATCAATTTAGTAGTGAAGAAATTGATTGTAGAATCATTGATGAATTATCATGCAGTTAAACCATGATGATGATATAGAAGGCAAACATTTAATCTGGTTTTTATTATGTTAATGTAACAGCACGAAATTGAAATAGTAGCATGAATGCTGCTATCTTCCTATGTGGACCAATTTCGCCCAAGCTTTTAGGGATGCCTCTCCTAGGCACATCTATTTTTGCTTTTTTTCCATCATCTATTTTTTTTTGGACACATTATGTTTTGGCTGTGCCATTGTAAATTGTTTTTGAGATTCTATATTAAGATTGATGATAGCGAATAAAATCTTAACCAAGTATAAATATAAATGAAGCTTGCAAATTTAATTTGGATATCAGAGAAGATAACCATGTAAATAAGGTTAACCGAATCTCATTTTAAACTATAATGAATAGATTAATATTCACAATATTGATAAAGATATTTATTCTGTGAATTTATTAGTATAATACTTTAAGGGTTTTTACTAATTTGAAATATTTCATATTCTTCTACTGAAAACTCTGATTCTCCATCATTAAATATAGATGCATCTCTAATTGGTTTTTCATATGAACATGGGTAAGTGAGACATTGGTTATTTTGACTAAAATTATCCCCAATCATACCTAAATCATTGCCAGCACCAAAACATGGTCCCCAATCACTATCATTCCAAATTGCACATTGTGAATCCACTACACGACTTAAAATAGAAGTTGGAATTGTACCATTTTTCAATGAAAAAATAAAGCTATCATTACTATTCATACAATAATCGGATTTTTTCCAACAGGTAGGATTATAACCACCAAGAATTTCATCAGTACCCTTAACCTTCATGACTACAACAAGATTTGTTTTCTTGTCACATAAATTCCAAAATGAATTCTTAGTGAAGCCATCCCTAGTTCCACGAAGAAGTAATTTAAACTCATATGGATTATTTGTTACTGAATAAGCATTTTCTTTTTTATCAATCCATGAAGCAATTTCGGCTGCATGTGCTTCATTGATTACTGTCGAAAACGATTCGGTATTTCTACTTGGTAATTTTGTTGTTAAAATTACACGAGGCGGCAAGATTGTTGATGATACTTGTCTATTTGGTGATATTAACTTATTTGTTATATCTTTCCAAAGATTCTTTTCAAGGATTTGATGATATGGTTGTACATAATCAATGATGTCATCACCAGGAATCTGAAAATAACGGATATTAGGCAAACAATTTTGTAAAGTAGTCTTTAAAGCTAGAAAGTTTTCATTAGACCAGTCTTCAGGATTTGATGGTAAGCTGGGATTTTGAGCAATTCCCCATTCAATAACACGATTCCAAATTTTTACTTCTTCCATTTGTAAATCATCTCGACAAATAAGCGAAACTAACGCATTTCCTTGAAGCGAAGAAAAGTCTTCAGAATTAAAAATCTTATCAGGGTATTTTACCGCAATATCATTGCACCATTTTTGTAATTCTTGAAGCTTATTATTGTGAAAACTTTTTTGATAAATATAAGTAAAACGTAAACGAAGCCAATGTGCATCCGCTTCAATTAAATGAGTTTCAAGATATTTAGCTAATTCATCAAAAAGAAATTCGTAAGCAATAAGCATAAGTTCAAAAATAAATGATGCATTTTGATTTTCGAGTAAGACTACTCCTCCGTAGATATATCTTTGAATAAAATTTTTTATATTTCAGATTTCTTGCAACTTGGTAAAAATTATCAATCGAATATAAAATATAAAATAACTTACTTAATAATAATTTCGAATTGTTGGATAGAAATATTTTTCAATTCAAGTGTTTTAATGTTATTTGCATCTTTACTAATATTGGCCAGTTTATTACGAAAATAAAAGGATCTATATCTTAAAATTGCTGAATGTGCTTGGAATATTTTAACATTTGGTGATTCGCCAACTTTAATGATTATGTTAAAATCTTCTTTGTCTTCAAGTAGTTCAAGAAGATTGTTTGAAAGTTTTTCAAAGAATTTTATTGTCATTTTAAATGAGTGTGAATTAATCGGTGATCAACGTTGATATGTAAAAACGAGTGGTATAACATATAATTTTGTTCTATATATAGCGTATTTGTACTGCCATAACAATGATACGTAATCTTATTTGACGTAGTAGTATTAGGCATTATTGTGTATTCTTAATATGTACCTAACCCATGTGAATTCCCCTAGTCCACAATTTCGATGTATACGCGGTTGCATATACTTGATTGAATAGGTTGCCCGAGGAAAAGTATGTGACTATATCATCAAATATGGATGTATTTCTAATCAAAACATATTCATTCCTACATTCACACAAAATTGCTCTTTCTGGAACCTTTACACGACTTAAAATAGAAGTTAAGTCATTATTGCAATTCATATGTAAGCAAAGGAGACTAACCATATCGGAAGCATGGGAACTAATTACAGATTTACGTACTGTATCCAATTGGTAGGATTATAACCATCAAGAACTTCGTTAATCTTCATAACTATGGTTGTTTATCACATAAATTTCAACATGAATATTATTAGCAAAACTATCCCTAGTTCCATGAAAAAGTATTTAAACTCCTATAGTTTATTTGTCATTGAATAAGTATTTTCTTTTTATCAATCTATGAAGCAATTTCAGTTGCATGTGCTTCATTGATAACTTTTGAAAATGATTCGGTATTTCTGCTTGGTAATTTTATGCAAAATTATTGATGTTACTTGTCTATTTGATGATATTAACTTATTTCTATATATTTTCAAAAGGATTTATGATATAGTTGTACATTATCAATGATACCATCGCCAGATATCTGAAAATAACGAATATGAGACGAACAATTTTGTAACTTAGTCTTTAAGGTTAGAAAGGTTTTACTGGGTTAATCTTAGAGATGGGTACCATGCGCATGATGCACATGCCTGCATGCAATTATGCATGCGCATGGTGTGCGCCAGGGACGTGTAAATTCTGTGATTTGCTGTGATCAAAGAAAATCGCAAAAAGCATGTGGTTTGCTGCGATTTGCTTCGATTTGCTGCGATATATTTTTTATCTAGTAACAATAATAAATTATTATAGTATTTGATTAATAAATTAATATTTTTGTTTAGTGAAACATAATAGTTTATTAGATTGAGCAAAAATTTATTTTTTCTTTAGTAATTTTAATAAATTATTATATATTTAATTAATAAATTAGTATTTTAGCGAAGATAATATTGTACAAAAATTTATTGTTTTTCTAGTACTATAATAAATTATTATAATAAACTATAATAAATTAATATTTTTGTTT